TCCACCCTCCAAGTTCTCATCCCCTGGTGAGATTTTACTGGGAAAGGTGAAAGCTTCAAGGGCAGGATGAGCAAGAAGAAAAGGTGAGGCACTCTTCCTTCCTCTGTTCCCATCATCCATGGAGAGGTCAATCAGGGCTCAGGTAATCTGGGTTTTATTTTTTGTTGTTGTTTTTTGTTTGGTTTTTTTTGCCATTTTACAGAGCAAGTTTGTAAAAATTACTTGTCAATAGAGGAACTACATATTCTTTTTGACATTAGAAAGTTAGGATTTAGGGAAACAGCAATCTCTACAAGTTGTCTGAGGAAGCCTGCCACCCAGGACATAGATGGAGCAAGCCCCTTAGTACTTCCAGTCTCCCTGTCTGCCATCATTTCTGAGCTTAGGTACAGCCTCTCCAGCTGGGAAATGGGGGGAGGGGTGCGGGCAGGGAACACACTGGGGTTTAACCCTACCCAGATAATTGTTTGGAAATCCACAATGAAAATAAGAGCTAATTGTTGGGAAATCCCAACAAATCCCAATTGTCTGTTCAATTACAGACAATACTGTATGTGGTAGGCAATAACAATGGCATTGAACAAGTCAGACCTAACCGTCCTTGTTAAAAGTTTTAGAGTTAATGTTTGCTAATGTCAGTCAAAGTCCCACCACAGAGTACAAATCTATCTGGTAACTGAGGAAAGTTTAGGAATGGAGCTATTTGCAAATATGTAGGCAATCACAAGAGAAATCAAGAAGGGATGGAGAAGCATCTCAGGACTAGCAGCCTGAGGGAGCCTTTACTACCCTTAGGCCTAAATGGGTAAGCAAAGAGGTTGCCCTAACCTTGAGAGGGCTGTAGCCATGGAAGAGCTCAGGCACAGGTGATCATCTTTGAGATCTTTGGTAAGAATCTAGCTGTTTCTAACTGTAGTCCTATGTAGAATGAAGTGAGAGAATAAATAGCCTAACTTCACTCATATACCCTCCAATATCCTGCTAGTGCTCCCATTGGCTAAACTGAGCCATAAGTCAAAGGGTAAGAAACATGGTAGATCCAACTGATGGAGCATAGAAGATATTAGTCTACCAGGGTAAAAGGCCTATGGAAAAGGACAGAGAATGGATATGAGAGGCCAAAGGAGAATGTCTATATACCAAAGAAGACAAGAACCAGTAGCAACCCTTGATAGTACAGCTTTAGGAGAAAAAGGAGATAAGAGAGATTGGAGAGCATGAGCTGGTTAAAGATGAGTCATCAATAAGTTGATTGAAAATAAATGGAAGAAGTTATAAGATTATCTTAGAGATCTCTGGAGTAGGAAAATGTAATTGTTCACAATATGGAAGAAAGAGAGAATTTTCATTTGAAGAGCAGAAAGAAGTACTGTAAAGTGGAATGACTGGATAAAAAGGACTAACAGATGGACCCAAAATGCAAAAGGATGGTTTTGAAGTTGTAGTAGTATTACATGAATAATGTCAAAACAGTACCACCTTGTTTACTGGAAATCATTGCTCCATTCATCCTCAATAATAATCAGTCACTCTTAGAATTTATGCTACTATGGTGGGTTTACTATCTTATCTCCTAGGAGTGTTTTTATTAAGGTAAGATCTTTCAATGTTTTGGGTATGATTTACACAGATGAAGGCACTTGATTGAAATGAGAAGACTAAATTTGAGGATTAGGTAAAGGTTATGAAAACTTTAAATGTATTTCAAAATTAGTTAACTATTAGAATACTTTCTTTGCTAAAATTAAATATGTAACAAGAAGCAAAGACAATTACTTACAAATTAAATTGCTTTTTATCTATATTTTTTCTTTCTACAAAAAATGTTAACTGTGTTTCAAGCTAGATACAATGTTCTATCTAAATTTCATCTCCAAATTTTGTGTTCTTTCACTACCATTTAAAGGACAAATTGAGCTGGACATGATGAAAGAGTCACTGGATGATAATCCCAGGGACTCTAATTTCCAGCTGAAGCGGGAGGATCCAAAGTTCAATACCAGCCTGGACAATTTAGCAAGACCTGTCTTAAAATAAAACGTAAGAAGAGCTGAGGGCATAGCTCAGTGGTAGAGTGCCTCTGGGTTCACTCCCTAGTACCAATAAACAAATAAACAAACAAACAAAGAAAGAAATTGGAATTTTTCTAGCCTGATTCTCCTAAGATTGTCTTTGGGGTTACTCAATAGACTGAAGATCTCAGGAGTCACAGTATTTGAACTACTCATATGTCACCCATCTCATTAGTGACATTATATCATTTATTGTTGAAGCACCTAATTAATACTTAAAATGAGCCAGTGACAGAGAAACTGTGAAGAGTGGAGTAGAATGTTTACCCATCCTAAGAACTCTGCTGTAATCTTGTTGTCAGTACTACTGGCCATACATTGCCAGTAGTACTGACAAGAAGAAATATCCATCAGAAAACATCTGGCCCTTTCCTATATGTTTCTCTGATATTTAAAAGTATACTGTTTTTTTTTTTTTTGGAGGGGGTGTACTGGGGACTGAGCTCAGGGGTACTCAACCTCTGAGCCACATCCCCAGCCTATTTTTGTATTTTATTTAGAGACAGGGTTTCACTGAGTTACTTAGCACCTCACTTTTGCCAAGGCTGGCTTTGAACTCGCAATCCTCCTAACAGCCTGCCAATCTGCTGAGATTACAGGCATGTGCCACAGAGCCCAACTTGAAAGTATACTTTATTTTAAAAATCTATCCAGTATTCAAATTGGTAACATGATGAAAAGATTCTTCTTCGAAAAAAAACCCTACTTCCATTTATTAAATGTGCTACTTACACATTTTAGGTGTGCAGATTAGAGTTCTTTCAGTAGAAGAGGAGTCAATCTGATTTATTAAATAATAATTTTAGCACCCTCCTACCTCTACACATACACATTTTACTGATAGGGTAAGTCAGAAGTCTTAAAAAAAAAACTGTAAACTACAAGGTTTCTTCTGTTTCTCTTCTATCCCTACAACAATAAACTAAGATAATCTGGAATTTTCCAAGCTTTGGTTAGAAGTCTTTCGCTTCAGAAGAGACCTGAGGAAAAAAAACTTAACTGACCTTTACAGGTAGGAAAGCATAGCACCTACTGAGATTTGTCTTCTTGTTGGCACCTCTCTACAAAAGAAGTGGGAAGCTAAAATCAGCTTCAACTTGTGCAAATTAAAAGTAACCTTCAGGCTAATGGGTTTTCAACACCACTCCTTACTGAGAAAAAAATAAAAATCTACCCCATAAAATTAAATTACCTCCTCAAAACTGACTTCTCTAATAAATTACAACATTAAATACGTTAAAATAAAATTATAATTCCTTCCAAACAATCCCTTGCTTCCTGAGGTAACACCCTCCCTGTTACTGTTAGAAGTAATTCTATCTGTAATGGAATACTTCATTCAGTTCTGGAGTCCAGTACCAAAAAAGACCACCAAAAACCTAAAAACTGTCAATGAAATAGAAAAACAACTAAAAGTCAAAAAAATAAATCAGATATTTGAGGAAAGCAAAGAACTATAGTTAGGAGAAATTCAATCTTTTAGCTCTTTAGCAAACACTAAATTTAAAGAACATAAAACATTCTAATCTTGTGGAAAGTGACCAGCTACTTTCAGTTTCTTTGGAGTACAGATCAAAAAGAAACAACAAAACAAGTAGGCCTGGTAATGAGTTTGTAAAGTGGTGGCTCTCTATTAATCCTAGCAATCACTAAAAATTGTCTATACAGTTCACTAACTGAAGAAGTTCTAATGTAGTCCTTTTTAAACAGCACTGAAACTTGGAAACACGTTGTTGAGTCAATACTTTGTACTGAGAACTGGACTAGTTCCTTTAAGAGGGAAAATACGGAAACAAAAAAAAAAAGAGGAACAGTACAACCCACTTGAAGAGATGGGCATACATATAGCTAGAAGCAACTAATGAGCACAAAATGCAAAAATGATGTGCGTAATTTGAACTGGGAGATCATTTGGAGGAAAGTCACAGGAGATTATATAAAGCCAACAGGTTAAATTTTGTTTGAAAAACCATGGATGGGCTAATTTTAGAATACCTGAAAAAACAGTATTCTGGAAACTATATACAGGATGAACTAAATCAGGAGAAGCATCACGCTAATACTAAAACTAACACAGACCACTAGTAGGTGCTAGGACTATCTAAACATTTACATATGAAGTCACTCATTAAATCGTCACCTTAATGTTCTGAGTCCAAGAGTGTTACTATCTTGTTCTACAGACCAGGAACTGATCCACTTAAATAATGTCGGATTTTGAGAGTAAGCCTCCTGCATAGCAGACTTCAGGCAAATAAATATAAGCAAAGTACATTTCATTTTCAAAGCAAGTGTTGATTATCCAGAGAAGAGAATACTGAAATTTCCATACAATATATCAAATTGTTTTTAAGAATTTTTATTACAAAAATTTTCCAATATTTATAAAAATAGAAAGAGTACAATACACCCCTGTATCCCGTTGTACTCAGGCTTGATTTATCTGCTACACAACCCCTAATTTCATATACCTAACCTTCATTATTGGATTTAGTGATGATTAAACCATATAAAGTATTACTACTAAACTCTGAGGGAGGGGTATAGGAAATAAGGAGAGGTAGACTACTCATATGAATGTTTCTCTAAAAAATGAAGACTTTGCTTTTTTTTTCCCTAAACATGACCACAATACTATCATAACACTGCAAATCACACACTCATTCACATACAATGCTTATTAAGATAAAATATCAAAGAATGATCCAATTTTCAATAATTTATCTCACTTTATTGATCCAAGTTTTAATAATCTCACTTTAATATCTATTGAGAACTTGCAACGCACCAGCATTCGGTACCATCACATAGAGTAGTTTATTGAAATTGCTGTTATTTAAATTGCTTTTTCCTCCCGCCTTTCACTCCAACTGAAAGGACAAGTCTGTCTGCACCGGTGACTCAGAGCCTCCGCAGCAGGCTCCAGCCTTTGCCCACGGGGCGGAGGCTGGGCCTGAGCCGCTTTCCGCTGGGTTCGCTCTGGCCCCGGGACGCTGGCCCCACCCCGGTTGCCTAGGCGACCAGGGCCGTTGCTATCCCGCGACATCATGGAGACTTCCTTGGGGACGACCCCTGTGGGAAGCACGCCCGAGGCGGAGGTACGCGGCCCCTTTCCCCGTCCCAGTCCGGGTCCCAGAAGGTCCGAGCGCCTGACCCCGCCACGGGTCAGCGGCCAAGGCCACGGCCCGCCCGGGAAGGTTATCCAGGCCCGGCTTCCGCAGGTGCGCCGCCCAGCACGACCGCGGGGCTGGAGCCCGCCGGGGCGGCGCCCGCTGCATCCCCGAGCCCCGCCGCGGCTGGCCGTCCCCGGCTGGCGGTCCCCGGCTGGCCCTAGTGCACCGCGCGAGGTGCCCGTGATTATAGATTGTATTCATTCTTGCTTTGGACGGTTAGTTCCATGCCCGAAAGACCTTACATCCACTGACTTCTAGCTCTTTTTTTTTTTTTTTTAATTTAAAAATTAAAAACTGATTTCAGATTTTTAAATGGGCCAGTCCCTTTAAATATTTCTATAATGATCACAGCTATGATTGTTCGAAAGGTGTCGCTGAATAATAACTGCTTATTGGTAGTGGATTGAGTAAGTGTAGAAGGCCAGACCTTGGTGCTTCTGTTATTATTTTGCCATTTCTCTGAAAAAAAAAAAAAAAAAGATAGGAGACAGGACAAAGAATAGCAGATGGAAAATCCATCTTCCAGCCATGTCTTTGTTGCTTATTATTAACATGTCTTTTGGAAATCATTTGACCTTCGTGGACCCCAGTAGCCTCCTTGTGTAACATAAAGGTTTTTTATCTTTAGACCCCCTCAACACCCACACACAGCAATGATTTTTAGGTACCTTTACTCATTTAGGCTTGATACCCTGAGACATTTAACTAAGAACACTGCCATGCCAGATATAACCAAAAAATGTTTTATTCTCCACAACCGAGTTTTATTCTTCAGCTTTTTTTCAAACCTCTTACGTGAATAATAATGTGTTAATTAACATCACTTTGCCTTATTAGTCTAAAAAACATTCTTTGTGCAGAAGATAAGTATTAGCTGTAATTTTATAAATGACGAAATGCAGAGAACCAATAATTTTGCTCCTTGCTCCCAGGCATGTAACTGTTCCCACTCTGGATCCCTCCAATACTATATGCAGACCGCTAAGGCATGCAGACTCTCATATGAGCCTTTTGAAATAAAATTAGCATACATTAAATGCACTTTTTAATGTGATAAACTGGTTTCTCAGTCACTTACTCCCTTGTGATCTCTAATGTAAGTAATAGAATTTCAAAAGTAGCATAGAAAATTTCCCAATTAAATTGTGTTATTTAAACGTATAGAAAAACTTACCGAGAATGCACAATTGCCAGTGTAAGCATACTTATACAAGTAAATAATACCCTTTTATTAGTAGATTGATAATTTTGCAGTCTGTTGAATCTGTACTAAAGTACACATACACACAATCTGTGCCATATATAAAAATGTGCACATATATAAAATAGTACTTATATATATCTACTTCAGATAGATATATCTGTACATATATCTATGTACAGATATACAAATATATAGATATCTACTTTAGATATGTATAATATACATATATGATTACACATATGTGACGTAATGAAGTGTCATACTCTAGGGAAAAAAGCTCCACTTTTTATAATGGATGAATCAGATGAATGCACTAGTTATAGACCTTAGATGATTATCTACCATCTTAGGATTTTCAGCTTGCCCATCTGTAACTTTGTGGAGGAGCAGATATTCCTCATGATATGCAATTCAGGATATGCTCAGTCTTTTGGTTATTAACAAACTGGGGACATCAAGTTGTAACTTGGACTCACTTAGTGGGCTCATTTACTAAGATGACACATTAATACACTGGGTGGTGAAAAGTCCATTTTCCATTCTAATGAAAGCAGAGTTCTTATCGTTCACAGGGGAGACAGTTGCTCCATACAGCTGTGTCATTCATTACAGTGACAAGTTCTGCCTGCTGCCCATTTGTGCTTACTTCGGGTTTCAGAGGTTAGATGGAAAAGATGGCAAGGCTCTCTTGTAGTCTATTCCCAAGAATGCAGCTTTTTAGCTGAATACTGAAAGGTTCTTCTTAGATCAGATTCTTTGCAGAGTTGATCCCCCCGGGAGCTAGTCCCTGATGGTGTCATTTCTAATAAATTCTTTATCTTAATTGACTGGCTTAGCCAGTAGAACATCTAGTCAGCAGAGCCAAGATGTAGTGAAATATGTCTTTTCTTGCCAAATCTCTCAGAAATAAAGCATAAACTTCCAATAGTTTGAGGTTTCCCATTTATTGGTAGTAGCCAACACCTAGAATAAAAGTAACCAATTATCCTAACCACATAGTAGACACACAATAAATTATTAAAATCATTGGTAGTCTGAAATATGCAGGAGAGGTAGTTATCATAGACTAAAACCTACTCTGAGATACTGTGAATAAATGGACATGAGACACAGATCCAGGGAAACTATTCCTGTGACATTGCATAAGCTCTATTTGCCAAATTTCTGAATTCAATATTCTAGGTTCTTTAATTATATTGGAGAAAATGCCTCCCTTTAAAATTTAAATCTAAACTTTTGGCATTTAATGTATGGACACATAAAAACAGAGAAAAATGGGGAAAATCTGAAAATAAGCATTTCTACATGTTGACATATATAAGTGAAAGGAGTTTATAAATGCAAACTTAGACTTCAGTAATCAGTCTTCTATCCATAGTTTGTTCATAAACTGGCTTTCTTAATATCTTCAAAAATAGTATTTGCAAAATAGAATCATTTAAGTGGTAAACATAAAAGGAATATGCTTCAACTCACATGAGAGATCTAAAAGAAAATGTAGATGATTGTTTTTCAATTGCTTCTTCTGAATAATGTCTCTTAAAATGTTAGCACATCTTCAAATCAGTGACATAAACTCAGTGCATGAGCGTGGGGGCGGGGTGGGTATTTGTGTATGTATTTTTGTACCCAGTATTGAACGCAAGGGTCTTTAGCCACTAAGCCACATTATCATCCCTTTTTTTAATTTTTAATTTTGAGACTAAGCCTCACTAAGCTGTTTTGAGCCTTGAAAAGTTGCTGAGGCTGGTTTTGAACTTGTGATCCTTCTGCCTCATCACCCCAAGTCTCTGGGATTACAGGCATGTATCACCATGCCTGGCTGGAACAACTATATAATCTTGAGCAGAAAGATAATGTCAGTTGTCTGAAAGAATGTCCAGTGGAGTCTATAGATGATTCTTTCTATGTTAGATGTTCCCTACAAATGTTAGAATACAGACCCTACCCGACCCCTGAAGGTTAGAGAAAAACCATGAGCTCAACTTGGGTAGCACAATGAGGTTTCTAGAATTTTAACATCATTCAAATTTATTGAAATTTAATGAAATTATGAGTAATTCAATGTGAGTAAAAATATTGTCATATAGTAAAAATCAATCTGTGTACACTATGGGACACTATGTACTTAAAAATCTTACTGAGTGATAATATTTATCAGTATTTGGGGCTTCTGGCAAATACTGGCCTTAAGCATGGAAATACTGAAAAATATTTGGGGTTGTCTTTTTTCTTGCCATTGTTTACTGTCTTGTTTATAAAGCTCTGCTCTTACTTTGCCTCTGTCCTTCTCTAAGGTGGCCCTATATAATCCTCAAACGTTTTCTAATATTTAAAGTTTTATTTTATTAAAATTAATTATTTAACAAATCTAGAGTTAATTTTTGATAGGTGTGTTTTGTATTTGAAATGAGGATCTAATTTGAATCTAATCATGTCCATTGAGAATAGACTTACTGTTGCTATCACATTACATATAATACATGAGTAAGTATAAGAATGGACAAACTACTTAGTGGACAAGAATAAAGGATCCAAATTTTATTTTATATAAAATTCTCTCTTCTGTTGCATTGACTAGTTTGTCCATTCTTGTATCAATATCATATCAATTTTATATTCAGCTTTACTATCTAATTTGGAAATGTCATCCTCACTATTGTTTCCAAATGTATGTATTCTCCCATAGGAACTCAAAATTTTATCTGGTAAAGTTCTAGAATCCCATTGAGATTATTAGCGCATCACATTTATAACATGGGTGGTGTTTCATGTTTTGAAGTAGAGGTTTTCAATACATTTATTTTATCAATTCTTATCTTTAAACTTTTGATAAAGTTTTAGAATTTCTCTATATAGGCCTTATACCTTTCAAATTATAATCAAATATAATTTAATGAAGTTTTCCCTTTTCCATTTCTAATTAGTTCCTCATGTAGAAAAAAAGCAATTGACTTTTATATATTTGTTATTTATAACCATTTTACCAAGTTTATTATTAACTCAAACACTATTAATACAATGTCGGCTTACTTAGGAATGTAATCATATAATCCTTAATGAAGATTTTTTAATTTAATTTTCTCATTTCTAATATTTAAGGTACATATTTAATTTTCTTACGGTAATTTTTAGATCCTCTATAGTATGTAGAATTACAATAATGTCGCTAGCCATAGTCCTTTTTTGTAATAGAAATACATATTTTATTACTATTAATATTGTTTTCTATAAAGTGTTTTCAAATCAGCTCATATGATAATAGCCACAGTGCTTTTTCGGCTCATGGTTTTTAATAGGAATGACTGCCATTTCATCATTCAATATTATGTTTATTGTTCATTTTGGTAAAAAGTCTCTTTCATATTTAGCTATTTTTCCCTATTTGCTGAGTCTTGCTGCTGAGTCTGCAAAGTACTTTTTCACATTTATTCATATAATCATAAAATTTATTTCATTTAATTTGACATAAAATTACATTCAAGGTATTAATAATGATCCATCTTTTATTTCTGAATTTAATCTTCTTTGGTCATAATAATAACTTATTAGTATTTAATGCATATCTGGGTTCAATTTTCCAATATATATTTTAATTGTAAATTTTGCATCTGAATGTATTAGTGATTCTGGTTCATGATTTTTCTTTTTTTTAGTTCAGGGTTTATGTGTTGCTTATACTTGCTTCTTGAAAATGAACTCTATAAAATCTAAAATTATCAGAGTAACACAGAATTTATTTGTTTTTTATTATAATTTAGTATTATATTTTAGAAATTCAAATATAATACTATCTGGCATAGTGACTATATAAAAACATGAGTTTACTTTGCATTTGTCAGGTCCAGTTTTCTCCTTTACCCCAGTCAATTATTTTTTAGTTGTAAATAGACACACAATACCCCATTTTGTTTATTTATTTTTATGTGGTGCTGAGGATGGAACCCAGAGCCTCACACATGTGAGGCAAGCCACAACCTCATCCTAACTCCAGTCAATTTTGATAACTTAAAATTTTCTAGAAAAATCATCCATTTCCTTGGAATTTTTATATGTATTTAAACTGAATGTACTATATATTTATTTATTTTCTTTCTTTCATATTTAATTACATGTGACAAAGATTTGTCTCTTTTATTCACATTTTAAGAAGCTAGTTCTTTCATTTATTTATTTTCTTTTAAAAAACTATTTGATCCTTACCTTCAAGCATGATGGCAAGGTGAGCACAAAGTTTAAGGAGATGTCCAAATCTCAGTAATTCAGACAAATCATGTTTTGATGCACTACTTTCAAAAACAAAATTAATACAAAAATCTTGATGGATTAAATTTTAAAATAGAGATAGGATCATTATTACTGTTTTTTTTTTGCCTCAGGCTCTAATATGGCTCAATACTGCACTACTCCTTAGTTCATTTATTTTAGACTTTAAAAAACAATGCTTTTCAAAATCTGGCATTTGTAGATGGCCTATGTTCTATGTGACTAGGAAGCTCCTCTATAGTAATGAGGTAAAATCTGTTATCATTCTTTAATTACATTTGTTAAGAATTTTTTCTATATAAAATACCACCATTGTTGGATACAAACAAGCCTCTGAAAGCTTACATTATAAAAAGAAGATATATGTGTGTGTATATATCACACATATATATATGTGTGATATATATACACACACACACATATATATATATATATACACACACACACACACACACATATATATATATATATATATATATATATATACACATACATATATATGTATGTACACACACTTACACACACAATGTGGAATAGTTTGGTGACATTAAAGGAAAAAGAAATGAGAGAGAGAATTATCTAGTAAATAATGCCAGGCTTAAAATTTTATTGCTCTTGGAATAGCTGCTAAAATCCACCAGGTGGTGGAATAAAATGAGGTAACAGTGCAATTTAGCTTACATATTTTCCTAGCCGGAGATGTAATTTTACAGAGAAAGCCACAATTACATATCCACATTTTTTAGTCTATTTATGAATTTTCTGTTATGTCTTTAATTCTTACAAATCAGAATGTATGTGTTGAAAGATCAAAGATTTTTAGCCACCTAATATTCTTTCTAGTGAGAGGCAGTATAATAAACAAACAAAAAAGAGGCCTAGTTTAAATAGATCCAAGAATACAATTTAATAGAAAAGGAAAAAACCCTGAGGCAAACTCTACTAAAAGACAATTATTTTAAGCCTCAAAGTTTTAGTAAAAAATGTAGCACTAATATTAGGCATCTTAGCTAGAATTATTATTCTCCAGAAGGTTAAGATGATGATTGTATTCTCTTTCATATAGCTCTTGGGTGGCCTACTTTTCTCCTATCCAGAGATTTTTTTGAATCAAATAAATTGATCTGAATCTCTGTGTAATTCACTTTTCTTGTATATCTTTAATTCATTATTAATAATGACAGCAATCTTGTATTTATTAAAACATATAAAAATGATTTTAGATAAGGATCTGAATTTAGATTCAAATGACTTGCTTCAAGACATAAAATGAATCAGTAGTCAAGCCATCATGAGATCCTCTAAATCTGTCCTTCGTCACACTCTGCCACTTAACACTGTCATCCTGTGATGAAGAGAAATTCTGTTGGCAACCTGTGTTGACATACAAGGATTTGCAGAATTCTAAAAGAAGTAAAAAATTGGGTGTATTTGAGGAATTTATAATTGAATGAGATTGACAGGGATAAGTATATTTTACTTCTAATAAAATGAATATTATAAAAACATTTAAACAAATATATAGACATATATTAGGAACCAGAACAGTATCCTATATAAAAATGGAGTGATTTGTTTTAATTTACAAGTATCTGAGTGCCCAATAGGGGTAAAGTACTTTATTTAACACTAAACTATTTTTTCATGTTCAGTGTGTTGGTGTATGCCTATAATACCAGCAGTAAGGCTGAGGCAGTAAATTGCAAGTTCAAGTCTAGCCTTAGCAACTAAGCAAGACTCTTTCTCAAAATAAAAATGGCTAGGGATGCTCAGTGATAAAGAATCCCAGAGTTCAATCCCCAATACCAAAACTACATAAAATATTTTTTCTTAATGTGTTTGTAATTTCATCATATGACCTTGTTTAAGTTTAATTTGCTCACCCTTAGATTATAAAAAGATGGCTAATAATTTTACATGATTTATTTCTAAATTAATTTTTTAAAATAAAAATACAATGATAACCTAATATTAAATTACAAACACTAAACCAATAATCATTATTAATAAGCCTAACTTTGAGAGTCTTCTATTATTGGAAAGGAATAAAGGAAACATTTGGGATGTGATCTGGTCAATTGTAGCAAAGCATTTCCTTGGCTGCCCTTATTTACTAGAGCACATTCACATGGAAGGTCCAATAACTATTTGGTGAATTTAAAAACATTTGGTGTGTTTCTTCCCATATCTCGCAATCCGTGATGCTGTGTAGCCCCTGTCTCCCATCTCTTTCATGGCCTCCTCTTCCATCTCCCATTCACAGCTCTTCTTTTCCTGCTCTGAATTTGGACAGTCTCACCCATTCTCACTCTTGAAGTTGACTCCTAAAACATCTTGAAGCTTGATCTTTCTGAACCCACATTTCTAATTAAATCTAAATATTTCTACCTTGCTATGCATACTCTCCTTAATTGAAATTAAACTTAACATTTTGTCTTTTAAATACCAGTCTTATCTTCTAACATGCTTATTTTTACAGGTGTAATGAGGGTGCTAGGTGGAGATGTGCAGGCTGTACTCTGAACAGAAGCACTTGGCTGAGATGTTGTTGAGGGCTGAAAGTATATTCACATGTGATGTCCTCGTGCACAGGACCACACCAGCTTTGAGAATGGCCTTTTTTTGGCCTCTTCCCCCCAAAAGGATAGCTTTGTCTCATTCACACCAAGGCGGCACCTATGTTATTGAAAGTCCCCAAATCACCACCATTTTCTCCAAGTCACCTATTTCAGAAATTCAGAATGTCCATTCGTTCTTCCCTCTTTCAGTCCTCCATAATATAATATGCGGCATTCGCTCCTTTATATTCATCTATACTGCTAATGAAGCCCAATGCTTTATCCCCAAACTGTTTTAGTGACCCCTCTTCATTGAACTCTTCCTCTGTGTTTTTGTTGTTATTGTTGTTGTTCCTGCTTTTCCTTTATCATTCCTTAAGGCAAAATTTTATCTTGTCATTTCACTGCTTGAAAACCATACAGATTCCCTATTGCCTGTATTATTAAGAAAAAAACTTGTCATCTGTCATTCTTCAACCAGCCTGGATCTAAAATTTTTATGGTCCCTTGCACAATATCTTGCACTTTGTAAGCACTCACTAAATATTTGTTGACTCCTTCAATTTAAGATTGCCCATAATATGTTCCCAATGCTCACAGCCCACCTCAGTCCACCTCATCTCCTGCATACCCTAGGTACCACTGTGAACTGCTTGCTTTTGTAAAACCCACCCTTAACTGTTCTGTCTACATAACCTTGGCGTTGCTGATTCATTTACCTTGAGCATCATCCCGCTGTAGTGCAACAATTTATTCCTAGACCTCCCCACTGTGGACTTTGTTTATCATTCCCAGTCCTCATCCCTTTTGTTAAACTGACTGCTCCATTTATTAAAGCTCACATATAACATTGTTTTCTTGTTTTAATCAGCCTTGGTTTGTTCATCATAAACTTTCTGAGGTTAGCAAGTCTTTCTTATTCACCTTTGCTTCTTCTTGAGCCCAAGTTCAAGGAGGAAGATGAAGGTATTCAGTAAATATTTGTTGAACCCCAACTCATTACTCAGTTTTACATATGTGCAAGAAATAGATTGACTAGTTACTTGATTTGAGGAGAGAGATATAATCACATAAGAATGGAAAAGTAAACAGATTATATAAGAGACCATTGTTTTAATTTTTTTTCTGACAGCAACTAGGCCACAGGAAGAACACATTTTGTTATTATTAGGTTTACTGTGTAATCCATGAGATTGCAATAACTCATTCCATTTTTTTGATAGAAAGATACTGAATTGCAAGAGCATGAAAAGATTTTGTCTTCCGATTTTCTTTCAATGGACCAAATCACTGATTTGCTAAAAGAAAATGTAGATGGAATTCAAGAGTAAGTACTTCAATATTACAGTCAAATATAGAATGGTTTTAGTTCTTCATATGTAAATGACTATGTTTTAAAGTTTCTTCAAAATATTTGTTATATTGTGCACTGAAATATATTTAGACTCTAGAACACATAATTTTTTAAATAACTACCTGACTTTTGCATTGCCCAGCAGTCCTTATTATGGGGAGAAATCCATTGAAAACCAATTTGTTTATGCTAATCAAGAATAGGAATTTACTATTAAATGTAGCCTCTAGCATATGCCATCTTCCATTTCTTATCTCTTTCTTCATAGAATGGTCAATATGCACAAGAACCTACAGGGTTGTGTTTTCTGTAATATTGTCGATATATTTTATTATTTTGAAAATCCTGAATATTAGCCACCCACCTGTGATTATTATTTAAAAAATTGAAGCTATGCTATCTACTCTAATTGCATATACATTGCTTAAAAATGTAAATATAACTGAATTTATAGGTCATAATTCTAGCATATGTCCTTCTCACTACTTAGGCCATTTATTTCTACAGTAGATCATTTATTTATATCAAACAAAATTTAATAAAATATATTTTCAGTAATAATTCATTTAAAAAACTATCTTACTTTAAAATGAAAACTCATAAAATATGGAGGTGGCAATGATGTGATGTGCTGGATCACAGTGTTCTGGTGTCTAGCCTCTGATGCTCGTCCTCAGGACACAAGGTGTTGTGGTCCATATGGACAAACAGACAATGATTCTGTCAGTGATTATAACTGGCAAATCACATAAATATTACAGAGTACAGCAATTTGCTATTAAGAAGGAGACAGGAGAGATGTATTGGCTAGAAGAGAAATCTAAGAAGAGAAGGTTCATGGAGAGCAGAGCCTTTTGCCATGATACTCTTCACCAGCCCACTCTCACAGACTGCTAGAAAGTTTGACCTGTGGTTCAGCCATGCTGCCTACAATCAGTGAATTAAAATTCACACATGTTTTCTTAAAGTATCTCATGATAATTTTACCATTTTTATAAAAATGAATGTTCACCATTGGAATTCAGATTCTTAGTGAGAAAATTGCAAAAAAAAAAAAAAAAAAAAAGGATTCATTGTGTTGATGCCACTAATTGTGTTTCCATGTAAAATATAATTTTCCATTTACAGGTAACTCCAAATGCTGTTAAACAGTGCAGTGCAAAACAATATGTGTGTATTACTAGGAACAATAGTAAAATGTAAATAACAGATGTTTAATAGTTTAATATTTACTTTTATTACATATTAAGTAAAGCATGTCATATTAAATACAATTATATTAAATAAAATGTATTGTTGCTTTTTAGAACTATTTCTTACCACATCACAAGTTGTGTTGTGTATTATACTTTATGTGACTACTTTTTTAAAATATTGACTCACAATTTTTTTAAATACCTAAATTCTGAAAATAGTTTTAATCTCTAGGTGGTGAGATCCAGGAAAAAGTAAATGATACCAGAGTTAATGTAGAAATGAGCAATATAAAAACAGATGGGTTCAATAGCAGATTGATTTTTTTAGACTATCTCATCAATATAGAAATTACCTGAAGCAATCTCAAATTTCAGAACATGTTTGGGTAAATGACATCAGTTCTGTTAGGAGTCACTTCTTTGTAATTTATTTTAGGGATCTTTATATGATTTTTGTACAGGAATCCTGAAATATTTGCAATCAATCATTTACTTTGAATTTAAAATAGCATTATTATAAATGGGAATTTATATGCTTTACATTTTGAACATGCTTTTCAAAATGACAGAAATATTATTTAGGTATCCTGTCACCAAGTGACAGAAGTATGCCAAAATCACACTGTATACAAAGCTACAGGACAATTTAATTTTAAAAAATTCAGTGTATTTACCTACCTTTTGAAATTAAGAATTGCCTCCATGAAAGCAACAAATGAAACATTATCATTAAACTTATTTTTGGAATATACTTTAAAATGTTAAATGTCTGGGTATACATCTTTTGATCTCCTAGCTGCTATAAATCATAAATTTTTTTAATGTAACCCTAATTTTATCTACATATCCACCCCAAATCCTTTTTTAAAAAAGATGGGGACCAAATTAAAAATAACTTTATAAACACAGAAATAACAATGAAGCATTTTAAAAAATATTTTATTTAGTTGTACATGGACACAATACCTTTATTTATTTATTTTTATATGGTGCTGAGGATTGGACCCAGTGCCTCACATGTGCTAGGCAAGCACTCTGCCACTGAGCTACAGTCTCAGTCCAAGGCATCTTTTAATAACATTTATGTAGCTGTGCCTCTATGAGCTATTTAGTTCTTCCTTAAAACTATGTCTTCATATCATCATACTTTAGAAGTAAAATACACCCAATTTCAAGAACATGTAAGAATAGGTAATGATTTTACTGAAATACTTGGAAAGACAAAGTAGATAGTAATCATCTCTCACTGTAACAAAACTTCTTAAAACACTATTAAACATCATTATTTTAATTGACATTCTCTAGCACTACTTCTGTGTCCATCTCTCCCCTCTCCCTTGTTCCATCTCCCCTTGTATCCAGAAAAAGGTTTACAAATTTGCTAGTAAAATTCTCAGAAACTTTGCATTCAAACTTCAGCAGTATCTTGTTCCAAATGTTTCCTGGCATAATCTGCTTTGAAGTGAAATGACTGAACAAACAAGACAAATGATAAATACTTATTAGCCCTGTGGTCCAGGTTCCAGGGAAGATTCAAAGGGAAAGGAGTAGAGGGAGGTAAAAGAGATTTCACCAAAATAATTTAGAAAAATAGTTGTCTTCAAACACGAACATTGAAAAATAAAAACAGAAGTCAAGAACATATACAAACATCCGGACCAAACATTTTATTAACAAATCTTACCATGCAGATGATAATTGAAGAGAAACTGAGAAGGAAAAATAACTGTTAATAGCAGAAAATGTTAGGCAAAAACTGATGGTTAGAAAATAAAGAAGAAGAAAAGGTGACAAAATTACAGAATTCTCTTTTGAATGTTGTTTGAACTTATGGATTGTTATATAACTGGATATTTTAGATTATGAGCATTACAGAATTTTCATTCAAAGAAAAACACTTGTTTTCAAAAAGGAACTGTTCAGTAGTTAATCTGATATTGTATTTGGATTTTTGTTTTCTTACAGAAAAATGGGCACATTTTTGAATTTCAGACATCTTCAAACTTGTTTAAAGGAAGGCATTCTACTAGATTATTATGTGTCTGGATTTTTGTGGGCTAAAGGAATGGAATTTTCTATTACTCAATATTCAAAATTTATGACTTTACTGGATATGTTGCTTCATAATCTTAGAAGTAAGTACATTATTTTTCTCTTTTTCAAGAAAAGAAGAACTTAGCCTACCATCTGAATTAATGTTCTTAAGCAAAATTTCTTAATTTTACATTAATTTCTTCAATTAAAATCATGTTCTCCCCCTTTCAGGTTATAGCAAAGATATGGCTCATATGTTTATTGAGCTATAAATCCTCAAATAATGCTTAACAAGACTAAAGTTCTCTTAATAATCAATTTTGCAATGAAATGCTATTCATTTAACAGTCTTGTCAATGCCATCACTCTTCAAATAGCTGGGGACTCTCTGTGAGAGAGAGAGAGAGAGAGAGAGAGAGAGAGAGAGAGAGAGAGAGAGAGATAGAAGATATAGATACAGATATTTGAATCCAGGAATGCTTAACCATTGAACCACATTCCCAGCTCATTTTTTAAATTTTTTTAGTTGTAGATGGACATAATAGATTTATTTTATTTTTATGTGATACTGAGGATTGAACCCAGTGCCCTCCACATGCAAAATGAGCACTCTGCCACTGAGCTACAACCCCAGCCCTCCCGGCCCATTTTTAATTTTAATTTTGAGGTAGGGTTTGGCTAGGTTGCCAAGGCTGGCCTTGAACTTGTGATCCTCCTACCACAGACTCCTGAGTTGCTGGAATTACAGTTTCTCTGTGATATTTTTGCAACATTTTCGTATATATAAAACTCTCTGGAATTAAAAGTTTTCAGTAAGTATTTCCCTAATATCAGTGGGCATAACAAAAAGGGAGGGATGAGGAAGCTTTCTGTGTATTGTGTAGAAGACTACATATCATTAAGCAAAGAATTGTGTGCTTTTGTTTATAAAAGACATAAAAATAAGAATTCAGATGTTTTTGTGTATACACAAAGAAATGCAGAAAAATAAAGGATAACCCCATAATTACCTATTGAGAAAGATAGTAGAATCTGGGCATTTGGACAACAAGGGTTGAAGGAAGTATTTTCTCCTATTAGCTCCATGTTTATATTTTGAAACATGAATATAAGATTGACAAAAAAATTTTAAATTCAGTCTTAAAAGAGAATATATGATATGGCAGTCCAAATCTTTGAATCTCTAAGCAGAGTATTGATGAATTAGAAAGAGAATAAAGAAGGGGAAATATTTTTATGAATCTCAGATTCCCAATTTGAGAACGTATCTGCATCTCAGACTTTTTCCATACCTTATAATTCAAAGGAGAAACTTTTCATTGTTGTTATCAGTTAAAAAATGAATTCCTAAAACTTGAGCTGGACTTATCCAACTATTCATAAACCATGAGAAACTCATGGATGTTAACAAACTTATAGTCATAATCAGTAAAGAATGTGATTTCAGTATGCTTACAGATTAAAGGAGGTCAAGTATGTCTACATTTAAACTAATAGTGGTAGAGTTCTGTGCACATGCTGTCACTCCCATTCACTCACAGCTTATGTGAAAGTGCTAGAGAGCATGCAGTCCCAGATGGTTGTTGTCTTGTGGTCCATCCAGTATGGAACTACTGTTTAGCCTAACAGGTTTTGATCTTATCTTTGCCTTGAGTTTGTACTGTATATTTACAAGGCATTCTGCAGACAAACCATCTAGAATCAAATGGAATCAACTCCCAAATTTATGTGGAATATCATATTTGTAGATTTAGTGCTTGGGGATTCAACCAACTGTAGATAGAAAACATTTGAAAAAAAAATTGTGCACAGACTGAACATATTCAGACTTTTTTTTTTTTGTATTGGGGATCGAACACAGGGGTGATTTACCAATTAACCACATCCCCAGCTCTTTTTGGGTTTTTTTAGTATAATTTTTTAGCTGTTGTTGGACACAATACCTTTATTTTATTTATTTATTGTTTTATGTGGTGCTGAGGATCGAACCCGAGGATCGAACCCAAGGCCTCGAACATGCTAGGCAAACACTCTACCACTGAGGCACTACCCAAGCCCCCTAGCTCTTTTTAATTTTTATTTTAAGACAACTTCTCACTAACTTGCTTAGTAGGGCCTTGTTAAGTTGCTGAGGTGAGCTCTGAACTTGCAGTCCTCCTGCCTCAGTCTCCCAAGCCACTGGGAATATAGGTGTGTGCCACACGCCCAGCTCAGATTTTTTCTCCTAGTCATCATCCCCTAAACAACAAGTGTAACAACAATTTACTTAGAGTTTACATTGTATAGGGAATTAATTATATGTAATCTAGAGATGATTTAAAGTATGCAGAATAAATGTGTATAGGTTCTGTACAAATACTACACTATTTTATTTATCTGCATATCTTGTCACTCCCAGATACTCAACAGCTTACGTGAAAGTGCTGGTATCCTTGGAGGGTCCCAGAACCAATCCTCTTGGATCCTGAGGAACAATTGTATACATTTGGAGATCTAGTTTTTCTAAGGTCTGACCAAAGACAAAATATAGAGTTTATTGACTAAATATGTGGCCTTTATCTAGGTCCATAGGCATAGATTAACTCCCTGGTGTATAACATGATTACTAGTAAGTAACTATGGGATCCTTTCTAATCCTGTGATGCTAAATCGTTTTCCTCTAAATGCAAATAATCAGATAGCATTTATGCAGAATTAACTTGTGCCAGACATAGTACCAACAGCTTTAGAAATACTGTCTTATTTAATTCACACAGAACTTTTGAGAAAAACAAGTAAAGTTCTAAGGGTTGAAAAACTCTGTGAGGACATATAAAGTCAACCTCCACAAATGAGATCCCACCTTTATGAATACTGTATCAAATGTGCCTGGCTTTGGGCTGAATTATAGAAAACACCATACTGTGTAATATGCTAGAATATGCAAATTTTCAGTTTGCCAAGAGTTTGACATGCATTTCTTATTTGATCATCACAACAGCACTATAATTATGAAAATAGGTATTATTCTCATTTTATAGATAAAGAAAATGAGACTCAGGTCAGCTAGCTAATATCAGCTATGAGGTACCATCCTAAGTTTTCCAATTAATTAGAAGTCCAGTGCATTCTTTCATTGCCCTAGATTGTCAAGAATAAATTTTATTTCTATCAGCCTTACTGTTTAAGTGGTTTAATCTTTCATATTTTACTCATATCTCTGAATATGATTTCTAAAAGAGCAAATATTTCAGTTAGATAAGTGAAATGATAACTTCCCTAATTTTTAAAGCAAGAAAGACATTAGACACAGAAAAACAGTTTTAAAGAGTCAGTTATTTTTCAGCATGAGGGAATAGTTTTAAAAATGTATTTCTGTATTTGATAAGTACAATTTCATCTAGAATTATAATCATTTATCTAAGAATTCCTTTTTTCTCTGCATCTCTAATTAATACCATTTTATTAATAAAATGATTCAGATTCTCCATTCATTTAGAATTGCTCTTATTCAACAGATTTTTCATTTCTGAAGTTACTTTCACTATTTTCAAAAGGAGTTTATCATGGAAAGAGAAATTACAATTGAGTTGAATTCCACTTAGAATGATATTGGAAAGCCTAGTTATTCAGCAATGATTCAGTATATCTGACATACATAAAAGGATGTGGAGGGACACTATGAGAAATGAACCAATTATGATTCATTAAAACGGATTTAAACTATTATATAGTTTTATGCTTGTTTCTAATCCTGTGAGTAGAAGAGAATCTAGATGGAAAAAATGCAAGCTAGTATTCATATTATATTTCTAAATTTTTTAAAATCGCTACCATTTTATTAGCAATTTTGGTATTTGGGATATATAGTACATACATCTCAGAAAGAGTAGCTGTGTAATTCAAAAGTGGCTGGGTCCCACAATCAACAGATACGTTCACAACCTATTTTTTAATCTCCATCCCTATTCCTCCAAAAATCCATTTCATTGCATGAAGGGAGAACAGTTACCGATGATGTCATGTGACAGACCTAACTGTTTGGCAGGGTTCACATTGAGCACCACACTTAGCTTTGATGCCTCATCCAAATGCCCCCCAACTGATATTCACCTCCCCTAAACAGCCAGTCCAGCCTTCGTTTCTCTAGAGCCTTTCAACTGTCCACCTCTCATCCCCTGAGCTCCTACTAATATCAGCAAAGGCTCCTCTGGACCCTCCGGTTACCTGAATTCATTCTTCAGGGGACTGGGGGAGCATATGTGTGGATTGTAAGTAAATATTTTGCCTTCCACTATCAGAAAATGAGCATAACATTACCAACCAAGAAAAAGACAATAGAAACTAATAGTTTCATTTATAGACACTCTAAAAGCTAAGGTTATTGGCATGTATCTCCTTCTTCAATTGGACTAGTGCCACAGAAAGTGGTTTGGGGTATTTTTTCTATTTGTTTGTGCCTCTCACCAAACAGACTAGAATGACTGAGCTGTTCATGCTGGGAGCTGCTGGTGAAGTTGTGTTGCTCTTTTTCCATTTTCTTCCAATGCTCAACCTCAGTGGGCATACATTTGAGGAAGAGCTGAAATGAGTCCTAGGTTGGTTTGTGGAAAAGAAAAAGATATCTTGATGTTTCATGTAAAAGTTCATATTCCTGCCTTCTACTGAAAATCTTTAAGCCCTATTTCTCCCATGGTAACTATCAGCTAAAGTCCAGTGGTAGTGGACTTCAGCCATTTTGATTTCTAGCTCTGAGTTCAGCCCTGAGTTTAGTGACTGAACCTACCATCTGGGTCTTCCTCATCATCCAAGTCAACCAACTTTTTGTAATTTTTATGTATCCTTTATTCTAAGATCATTTTAAAAAATCTCCTCTCTGTTATAAAGTAATCTTTACATATATTTTGATTCTGTTGATCTTAAAATGGAAACATAACAAAGCTCTTCAAACAATTGTGCAGAATTACAATAATTTACAATTGTTGAGTATGTCAGTTGCTATTCTTTTACTACAAAATGTAGTTTATGCTTGTTTCCAATTCCTGTAAGTAGAAGAGAATCTATATGAAACAAATTATAAGCTAGTATTCATATTATCTTTCTAAAATTTTAAAATTGCTATCATTTTATTTGTTATTTTGGTATTTGGAATATATACTATGTACATCTCAGAAACAGTAGCTGTGTTTAATTTATTATGAAGAAACAAAAGGAGTTTTACCATTTACCCTCACAAAAACAAAGTAAATTTTGGCACATTTATGACATTTGGATTATTTTTCTCTTAAAATATGTATCAAAATAACGCTTAAGATTTCCTTGCATTTTATTTCAGCCCTACATATGTCCCTAGAAGACAGCATAAAGTGGCTTGGGGAAGTTATGGCTGAAATTGGACCAATCCAGTCACAAAAAAATGAGGAACAGAATGTCTTTAATATAGAACAAGCCAATGCTATCATTGATTACTTAAAAATCAGGTATGGTTTTGTTTTTAGTAGCATTATTTTTCATTCCATATCTTCTAGAAATTGTCTATTTAAAAATTGAATTTTTATTAATTTTTTATTTATATATGACAGCAGAATGCATTATATTACAATTCTTATTACACATATAGAGCACAATTTTTCATATCTCTGGTTGTATACAAAGTATACTCACACCAATTCGTGTCATTATACATGTACTTTGGATAATAATGTCCATCACATTCCACCATCATTTCTAATCCCATACCTCTTCTCTTCCCCTCCCACCCCTCCCACCCCTGCCTATCTTGAGTTTATCTATTCCTCCCATGCTCCCCCTCCCTATCCTACTATGAATCAGCCTCACTATATCAGGGAAAACATTTGGCATTTAGTTTTTTGGGATTGGCTAACTTCACTTAGCATTATCTTCTCTAACTCCATTTACCTGCAAATGCCATGATTTTATTCTCTTTTATTGCTGAGTAATATTCCATACTTTTTTATCCATTCATTTATTTAAAAATTGAACTTTAAAATCAGATATTTAGTGGAATGAATCTGACCTAACTTTCATGTACTTACATGATTATACTACAGTGAGTCTTTCTATTATGTATATCCACAAGACACTAATTTTACAAAAAACAAAAATTAAATAAACAGAAAAATAAGGTAGAGAAAAAGGAAGGGGGGGAGGGAGAGGATAAGGATAATTATTGGGGTCTTAATTGGAGCAAATTATATTCCAGGTATTTAAAATTATGTCAAAATGAATCCTGATATTATATATAATTTTTATAAACCAACAAATAAAAATAAATAGATAGCAGTGAAAAACAAAGCCTTTCATAAAAAATCAGATGTTTATAGAATTGAAGCAGTAATTAATCAAACCAATACACAAATAATAGTTAAATCTTCCATCTAATAAATAAGTCAGGACATTAAACATTTTGGCTAATGTTGCATTCTTTAAAATGATTTGTGTTTAGTAAATACAATTTTACCTAGAATTATAATAAAATACCTAAGAAATTCTTTTTTTCTCTGCATCTTTAGTACCATTCCATTAATAAGATCATTCTTTCTCATTAATCAGACTTAATTATAATATATTCTATATTTTAGATAGTTGACATTTCCAACTACTAGCTTACATTTTAAAGAGCAATATTCACTTCCATTTAAATGTTCACTTTAAATGTTTTATTTTAGAAATGGAAGAGATTTATTTATTGTATACTATAAAATATTTTATACTATGGACCAATTAAACTCATTATTGTCTGTCTTTCTACTTGGAAAACAACAGTGGATGGAGAGAAAGTATATTTTTTATTACAGTCATTCTTCATTGGTAAATAAAGAATCTGTCTTTTTATATAGTCTGTCACAAAGTCTGCATTAGAGTCATGCATCTCTCCAAAGAGACATTTTGAGTGTGCAAATATCCAAACAAGAGCAGGTAAATTCTTTCTTTTGCCTAACTACAAGTCTCTGCATAATATCCTTGTTCTTCTTATGCTATATACTCCAGTGTTTTCCAATTTAAAAAATTAAAATTCTAAAGCAAAGGGTGCCAAATGATATTCTAGATATGCTCATGATTTGCTTGGCAAAGATCCTGGTTGTAGTCTGGAAGCTTTATAAATATTAGTGTGTTTAATATGATAAAGTTTATATACTGACTTCTGGCATGAGTTAATAATGGCATATGATATGCTTTTTATATAATAGCATCTGATATAATATGATTTCTTAATATAAAAATATATCTCCTAATGAGTGACTCTCACTAAAAGCCACAGTAGTTCTCATATCAATTAGAGTAAGGCAGGGTCTTTGGGTATGGGAGGGAAGGAGCTAGAAATTCAGAACTGAATAAGAACCTGGGCTTTGAGGTTTGTTTGCCCACCACAGTTTGAGAATCACTAAGCAAGAGAATTCCACCCTGCACATCTGTACTGGCATCCTTCTTTCCACACTATTTGAATATAACAGGTTGTTCTTGCAGAACACATTTTTATACTTAAGCTCTAGGCCCAGTAGGTTTATAATGGGTGTGGAGACCAATGGCAGCAACACCCACATAAGCACCATAAAGACACCTACTTACTGGATAGTAAGAATGGTCTCCTTTCCCTCTGATCTCTCTTAACATTTTCTTTTAGAAAATGTTTATGTTAGAAGGGGATGTCAGTGTTAGTCACCTTTTAAAAAACATTTTTACTGGTTCTTTTTAGTTGTACATGACAATAGAATTTATTTATTTTAATATAGGCCTTTATTTATTTATTTATTATTTATATGTGGTGCTGAGAATTGAAACCAGTGCCTCACACATGCCAGGCAAGTGCGCTCCGGTTGAGCCCCAGCCCCAGCCCTAGAATTTAGTTTGACACAATTATAAAATCATGGAATATAATTATATTCCGTGCATTTATAATTAATTCAGTCCCCAGTACTTCCCCTTCCCCTCCTATTCTCCCACCCCCTGTTCCCTTTCCTCTACTCTACTGATCTTTCTGCTATTTACTTATACTTTTTTAAAAAAATAGTTTCTTACGGATGTACATGATGGTTAAGATTCACTGACTGTAGTATATTCATATACGTCCACAGGAAGTTATGTCAGATTCATTCCACTATCTTCACTATCCCATCTATCCTCCCTTCCCTTCATTCCTCTTTCTCTACTCCCCTGATCTTTTTTCTATTTTTTTCAATCCCCACCCACCTTATTTTGGATTAGTTTCTGCATGTTAGAGAAAATATTTAACCTTTAGCTTTGGGAATTGGCTTATTTCACCAAACATGTTAGTCTCCTGATCCATGCATTTACCAGCAAATGACATAAAGTCATTCTTCTTTATGGCTGAGTAATATTCCATTGTGTATATACCACATTTTCTTTTCTTTTTCTTTCTTTCTTTTTTTTTTTTTTTGTACTAGGGATTGAATTCAGGAGTGCTTACCACTGAGCCACATCCTCAGTCCTTTTTGTGTTTGTTTGTTTGTTTGTGACATGGTCTTGCTAAGCTGCTTAGGGCATCACTAAGTTGCTAAGGTTGGCTTGGAATTTGCATTACTCCTGCCTCAGCCTGGACAGCTGCCTAGTTTACAGTATGCGCCACCATGCCTGGCTACACATTTTTTTTAATCCACTTATCTGTTGTGTACCTAGGTTGACTCCATAGATTAGCTGTTGTGAGTTGAGCTGCTATAAACATTGATGTGGCTATGTCACTTGTAGTATGTTGATTTTAAATTCTTTGGATGTATACTGAGGAGTGGGATAACTGGGTCAAATGGTGGTTGTCTGAGGAATCTCCATACTGCTTTCCAGAGTGGTTGTACCAATTTGCAGTCTGCCAGCAATGTGAGTGTACCTTTTCCCCCACATCCTCACCAACATTTATTGTTACTTGCATTCTTGATATTTGTCATTCTGAGTGGAATGAGATGAAATCTCAGGAGAGTTTTATTTTGCATTTCTCTAATTGCTAGAGATGTTGAACATGTTTTCATATATTTGTTGACCATTCTTTTTTTTTTTTTTTTTTTGAGAAGTGTCTCTGTAGTTCCTTTGCCCATTTATTAATTGGGCTTTTTTGTTTTCTTGGTGTTTTTTTAATTCGATGCCATCCAATTTATTAATTTTTTAATTTTACTTCTTGCACTTTAGGGGCCTTGTTAACGAAGTCAGTTCCTGAGCCTACATGTTGGCATGTTGAGCCAACATTTTCTTCTAGCACTGGCAAGGTTACTGCTATAATTCCTAGGTCTTTAATTCATTTTGAATTGACTTTTGCACAGGGTGAGAGATAGGGGTCACATCTTATTCTCCTACATATGGATTTCCAGTTTTCTCAGCATCATTTGTTAAAAAGGCCATTTTTTTCACCAAATTACGTTTTTGGCATCTTTTTCTAGCATGAGAGTACTATACTTCCATGGATATTTCTCTGTGCCTTCTATTATATTCCCTTGGACTTTATGCCTGTTTTGGTGCCATACCATGCTGCTTTTGTTACTATAGCTCTGTAGTATAGTTTGAGGTCTGGTATTGTAATGACTACTACTTTGCTTTTCTTGCTAAGGATTATTTTAGCTATTCTGGGACTCAATTTTCCAAATGAATTTCATGACGGCTTTGTCTTTTTCTGTGAAGAATGTCATTGGGATTTGATGGGAATTGCATTAAATTTGTATATCATTTCCGTAGTATGGCCATGTTGACAATATTACTTCAGCCTATCCAAGAACATGAGAGGTCTTTCCATCATCTAAGGTCTTCATTTCTTTCTTTAATGTTTTATAGTTTTCATTTTAGAGCTTCTTCTTCTCCTTTTCCTTCTTTTTTTGTGGTCCTGAGGATTGAACCAAGGACCTTGTGCATGCAAGGCAAGCACTCTACCAACTGAGCTATATCCCCAGGCCTTTCTTCATTTCTTTTGTTAGATTCATTCCCCAGTTTGTTTGTTTTTGAGATCATTGTGAATGGGATAGTTTTCCTAATTTATTTTTCAGCAGATTCATCATTGGAGTATTGCAACATAATTGATTTATGGGTGTTATTTTGTATGGTGCTACTTTGCTGAATTGATTCATGAGTTCTAAAAGTCTTCTGGTGGCAATTTTTTGGGTCTTCTAAATATTGGATAATGTCATGGCAAACAGAGGTAGTTTGACCTCTTCTTTTCCTATTCATATCCATATAGTTTCCTTCTCTTGCCTAATTGCTCTGGCTAGAGTTTCAAGGACTGTGTGGAATAGGAATGGTGAAAGTGAACATCCTTTACTTGTTCCTGTTTTTAGAAGAAATGCTTTTAGTTATATTCCATTCAGAATAATGTTAATAATGTTGACCTTGGGTTTGTCATAGTCTGTCCAATGTTGAGATATGATTCTTTTATTTTTTATTAGAGCTTTATGGTTATACATAGTAGTTGGGTTCATACCAACAATCTCATACATGCATAGGAATTGATTTCAGTTCTCTATCT